TGATGAAAGACGACGTCGATAGAATTATAATACGCAGTGCACAATAACAACCGGTGTTTGATGAATGCTGTGAAATTGAGTGCACGTTATGTTTGTCGTCTTTAAACATTTCGTGTTTAATTTATTTCTGTTTTCATCTCACATGTGTAAGAACAACTCATATGTCGTGCGCTCGATATCACATCAAACAAGTGATAATTGAATTGAACGAGAAAAACAAAAAAAAATATTAATTTTAAACATTAATTTAAATATATTCATCAGGCAAAATTAAACTTAGATTTTGAAAATTTAAATTACAAGACGCAATTGAACTTGTTTGTATTAATGATTGTTGTAAAGTATTGGAATTAAGAATGTCAGATATAGAGTGAAAAGAGAAGAAATGAGGATAAAAAAATAGTTCAAATATTACTAGTAATCATTTAGTTTGAGAATAGTTTTTCTTTTTTGTATTAAAGATAATAATAAAAGTTAAATATCAATTGTTTTTTCTTAGTAATAACTTTAGAGATAGTCAGTTACATGTCATTTTTAATATAAAAAAAAATAAGCGATATTCAGCGAACAATCGATACTATATGATGTTTATTTTATAGACATTCCATGTTAAGCATTGGATTCATGAATAATTTCTGATTTAAAAAAAAAACAAAGAATTTTTTGTGTTTAATCAGACTAAAAAAAGATCTATAGTTTGCTAACAAATTTCTTTTATGTATAAAATTTTGCGTCTTTTAGTTTAACTTTCAACATCTATCGTGTCTGTTAAATTATGTATCTAATATAAAATCAATTTTGCTTGTGACATATTTCTTAAAATTAGTTTTTAAATTTTAATCTTCTCAACTGTTAAATGAAAATTTATAGGAATTTTTCTCGTTACTACATTGATGAAGGTAAATATTTATGTTTATTTAAAGATCAGAGCTATATCATAGGAAGATAAGATACGTTTTACTCTCATATCAGATAAAAAGAAAGATTTCTTTAGGTTACTAAACGTTATTGAAATTTCTTATGAAAAGGGGATAGATAGTGTCAAACTGCATATCCACATTCTTTCACTTAAAAATTAAAAACTTTAGAACATTATTCTTTTGAAGTATGTAAGATTGTATTCAGTATAACTCGACTTAATACTTGTAATCATAAGACGAACTATATTTTATAATTATCCACTTTTCGGTCTGTACAGTACGACAAAAAACGAATCATATAAATTACAAAAAAGCGGTTAAAAGGTATACCAGATGAGTGACCCAATAAATTTTTCTAGGGATTTGTAAATTATGTTTTTTATCTTTGAGATTGTTAATATCTATTATTTTCGATAAAATAATGTCGAACAATAAAGCAACACAGTAAGAATGAGAAAATTATGACTATTTTCGGATGTATAAACTTTTCGTTAATAAAGTATCATACTGAACTGAAGCTTTTTGTAATAATTGCAGATGCCTAATTACACATGAAAAAAATTTTTAACTTCAAATCTCGTTCTTAGTTAGAGCTAGGACAATTTTACCGTATTGATAATACCTTTTTTGGTACTATTATATCTACTCTTTTTTTTGATTTTCTTCTTCCCGCTAACCTTGAGACACCCATTAAGTCAAAAAATTCTCCGTAAGACTAAGAGATCTTATGAAAAAAGTTAAATTCGGATAAAATTTTGTTCAAAAACATTTTTCTCTTTAGTGAAGGTCATTTTTTTGGAAAAATCAACTCTTCAAAAAAAAAAACATATTTCGTTTGATCACTTACTGCGATAGAATACTACTCGAAAAGCATTACCAAATTTATGGTAAAGAGCTCGTTTTTAATCAATGTAATGAAGAATTGTGTAAAAAATATGCTTCATTCAATAATGAAGCTGAATAAATAGTTGTAGAGGATCAAATAGATCGATCAAGTACTTCAAGCAATTCTTTTATGTTTGTTTATTCTTCTCATTTACATTAATTTTCTTCTTGCAACTTTTTTTTTAGATATCGATGAAGAATGTGAAGAAGCAGCTGTCAAGAAACGATATCTTGGCATTGTTAAAGTAAATTATTTTTTTCTTTTAATATCAAAGTTCTTTTTTTATTTTCTCTAGCATAAACATAAAGTTCGTCGTTTAAATGATTGAAAATTTGTTTTTGATTGAAATGTTAGTGAAGATACAGCTGTTGATTATAATCCAATCTGTAAAGAAGAAAAAAATCAATTGAAATTTCATGGTGATCTATTTGAAAAACGACGTACATTGACAAGAAGAAAAAGATCGAGCAACGTAAATTATATTAAAAAAAAAATAAAAGTTTTAATCATTCGTTACTTTTTAGAGATCATCTTAAATCTGATCGAGATTGGTGTATTTTCAAAGAAGATTATAATATGACAACCAGAGATGAAAATATCTCACATCCATTATGATCATGGAATGGAGCTAGACTTGAAAAAGAGCATTCTTAATGTTATCAAAACTGCTGGTTATAATTTTGTATTAGTATAACGCAGCTAAAGAACACATGTGAGTTCCACATTTTAGCTCCAAAGAAGCTGCGCTGACATAGGTTTTTTTTATAGAAACTAACATCAATTCAACGACAAGCTATTCCAATTGGTTTACAAAATCGAGATGTAATTAGTTTTGCGAAAACTGATTCTGATAAAACAGCAGGTAAATTAATTCTTGTTGATTTATGTGTTTTTTTGTTGAGTTTGTTTGTTATTGGTATATCAGATCGTCTTATTGATGTACTTGAAAATCATTATTTAACATCACAACAATGTATTTATATTGTTATGGATGAAGCTGATCGAATGATTGGTTAGAAAAATTTCATTATATTTATCTATTGATAAATCGAAAAAACAGATAATGAAGTTATAGAAGATACAAGATAACAAAAAAAAAAGTATTTTTCTTTCTTTTATTTTAAGAGATTTTGCTTCAAAAGATATAGATATCATCAAACAGTGATGCATACACTAACAATAACACCAATTATTGAACGTTTATTACATACATATCTTCGTCGTCATCCAGCATCTGTTTGTGTTGGATCAATTGTCAATCTAACTGAATGTGTTGAACAAAGTATTATTTTTGAATTTTTTTATTTTGCTTATTTCTATTAGGGTGGAAACGCTGATATAAAAGAAAAAAAAAGATTTCATAAAAAAGAAAATGAATATGATTTGAGATTATATACATCGTATTGATTGCACAAGTAGTGTAGGCAAAGTGATAAGATTTTTAACAAAAGAAGATTCAGCTGTATCTGACTGAGTTACTTAATCATCCTGATGCAGCACAATATAAACTTGATCCGATATTTTATTTATTTATTTTTTCATTAAAATTATGTGTTTACTTCAATTAAGAAAAAGACATTATTATCCTTGTATTTGTGTCTCGTTTTTTTTTGTCTTATTATTGTGTATTATTAATAAAGAAGTATCTGATGAAAAATACAATAATGACGTATGACGTATTTATTTATTTATTTTATGAAAACGAAAAAGTTTTTTTTCTTTCTATTGTGTGATGTTTGTTACTACGACAAACATATTCTTGCTGTACAATCACCTGTCAAAACAAATCTCGTATTGGTTTTCTCTTTTTTTTTTATGTGCTGAAAATTCTATTCAGATTGACGTACTTGTTCTGAAGTAAATAATAATGATGAACGATTTTCTACATAGTTGACCGAAATCTGTAGTGATTCTAATAATCATGGTGATGATTTACGGTATATTATTGATACACAATGTTTAAAATAAGTTATTTGAATATTTTGAAAATTTAACGTCAGTATATTATTTATTCTCTACTCAATATGATTGAAGAAGATCTACAAACAAATAAATAAAGAAATCAACAATAATAATGATAATATTACATGTAAAAAAAAAACAACAAATATTTAAAAATTCGTAGGATAAGATAAGGATAGAAGTTTTACACATTAGGATAGGGTAAAGATTGAAGTTCTGCACGATATAGTAAGGTAATAGTAGGACTCTTTTTGTCAGTCAGGGTACAGAGTATGAGGAACAGCTTACCCTGTGAATCTATACACTCAAATTACCTAATTGATCATGATCCAATGAGGTTCTGGTGTTGTAGTGAAACTCGTCGTGATTTTTTCATTATTATCAATAGTAGTCAGAAGAGTACGTGTCTTAGCAGCGACCATTGTTTTGTTGAGAAGATTATTTAGCTTATCTGAATTGACATTTACTCGAATATGAACACGCTTATTAGCAAATCAAATCAATAATATTATTTATTCGTTCATA